GGCGTTGACCTAGGGTTACGCGGTGACCGGCGTTGACCCTAGGGTTTCAAATCGTCGAACGTTGACTTTTGTTGCAACGTGTTGCTTGGCGTTGACCTAGGGCTACGCGTTGACCGGCGTTGACCCTTGGGTTTCGAATCGTCGAACGTTGACTTTTGTTGCAACGCGTTGCTTGGCGTTGACCTAGGGCTACGCGTTGACCGGCGTTGACCCTTGGGTTTCGAATCGTCGAACGTTGACTTTTGTTGCAACGCGTTGCTTGGCGTTGACCTAGGGCTACGCGTTGACCGGCGTCCACCCTAGGGTTTCGAATCGTCGAACGTTGACTTTTGTTGCAACGCGTTGCTTGGCGTTGACCTAGGGCTACGCGTTGACCGGCGTCCACCCTAGGGTTTCGAATCGTCGAACGTTGACTTTTGTTGCAACGCGTTGCTTGGCGTTGACCTAGGGTTACGCGTTGACCGGCGCTGACCCTAGGGTTTACGGATCGCCATTAACACAGTTTATACTCGTACGTTTGCTGGAGTATACACAGTTTAAGCTCTTAAGGTATTGGAGCATCGCGGTCCCGAATGTTGGGGTTGCAGGACCAACTGTTAAAGTTGATTCATCTGCATGTGTGGATTTTATCCTGAATTTGTTGGGTGCTCAAGTCACTAGACCAACCAGTGGAGTTGATGCGTCAATGACTCGCATTTATAGAATTTTTGGCAAATCCTCAGCCATCAACGGATTTGATTAGCCTTTACCGACTACCGTTTGAGTCGGGCTAGCATGCGGATTGTTTAAGTCCGTTCCGCATGTGACGCTGTGCTAAGAGAGTTAACGCTCTTAGTGCTACGATATTGAATACGTAGACTTCGTCTTTCTCACGGGAATAGACTACCCGGCGACGCGTGTTAGGCGTTGACTTTAGGATTTTTGGCTAATCCCCAGCCTTCAACGGATTTGATTAGCCTTTACCGACTACCGTTTGAGTCGGGCTAGCATGCGGATTGTTTAAGTCCGCTCCTATGTGACGTTTAAGCTAAAAGAGTTAACCCTTTTAGTGCTACGATATTGAATACGTAGACTTCGTCTTTCTCACGGGAATAGACTACCCGGCAACGCGTGTTAGGCGCTGACTTATCCTTACTTAGGATTCAGGATAAAATTCCCCGTGCGTGTGAGGCACGGATTATGGTGTTATTAATAACAACCTGCCACAATGTTGAATATGTGGTCTTTTGTCCTTTTTACGGTCAAAGACTAACCGGCCATGTGTGTTAGACATAGGCTTTGGGATTTTTGGCAAACCCCCAGCCATCAACGGGTTTGATGTGCCTTTACCGATTACCGTTTGAATCGGGCTAGCATGTGAATTATTAAAACCCGTTTCACATGTAACGTTGTGCTAAGAGAATTGCTTCT